TTCTTCTTTTTTTTGTTACTACTCACCCAAGGATATTTTTTATTGATTTTCAGACAGTGGAAGGGAGGGGGAGAGAGAGAGAGAAAGAGAGAGAGACGTCGACCGGTTGCCTTCTGCCGGACCCTGACCAGGGACGGGGATTGAATCTGCAACCCAGGCCTGAGCCCTTGACTTTGGAATCAAACCTGCCCTCACCACGGAGCCAAAACAGCCAGGGCCATTTGCTTTCTTTTTTGTTTTTTAATTCTTTTATTTCCTCACCTGAGGATATTTTTCTACTTATTATCAGATAGAGTGGGAGGGAGGGAGAGAGACTGAGAGAATCATCGATGTGACAGAGCCACATCGACGGGTTGCCTCCCTCACAACTCGACCAGGGCCGGGGATGAACCACAACCAAGGTACGTGCCCTTGGCCGGAATCGAACACGCAACTCATTTGTCTGCGGGCCGACGCTCTAGCCACGGAGCCAAACCGGCCAGGGCCCATTTGCTTTCTTTTAGCTCCTAACTGGGCAACCTGGTGCGCTCAGCTCCTCTGAATCATAAGATTGAAGACTTTCTGCATCGGGATGAAAATGCCCCACTCTGGTTTGCGGATGAGGACACCTGACTGGTCCCGCTGCGGAGACACTAGCATCCTGGGTGAGATGGTCTGAGGACCATGGGCAGTAGAAGGTGTGTCTCAGCTGGAAAGGCTCGCTGGAAGCCTGGTGGCCAGCCAGAGGGCCCTTGCTCCTGCCCTCTCCTCTCACCCGGCACCGGCTGCTGCCAGCCCCGGGGATGCCGCAGCGGATGGGCGGACGCAGACACTGGGCGCTGGCTGGCGTCGTGGTGAGTGGTGTGGGAGGGCCGCTGGGCAAAGCAGGTGCCTCAACAGGAACACAGCTCCACACGCTGGTGTGAGGCTGGCCCTCGCTGGCCCCGGGAGCTAGTGACACTCGTGGGAAGGTGAGGTCAATGCAAACTGTAAACCTGGGAGCTGACAGGACCCTCCCCCTGTGGTCGAGGGGCCCCTGTCAGCACCCCCACGACTGGTATCAGGCCAGCATGTCGGGTGGGACCTACAGGTCTGATGACCTGACAGCCGGGGCTTTCCCCACAGAGGAACAGCGACAGCAGGCAGTCTAGGTACATCTCCTTTATTGTCACGCCCCCGAGGCCAGCTGAGGCGGGGCGAGTTTACAACTAGAGCAGTTCCCCTGTGACAGGCGCAGGCACCTTCGTGTCTCCAGAATGTGGTGACAGCCCACACCCAGGGCAGCCGGGTCACGAGCCCATCCGGCCTCAGCACCGCTGGGCTGCCAGGAGGGGCCCGTGGCACTTGCCCTGGGTGGGTGTGGTGCCCAAGCAGGACGGAAGAAGGCACACGGGAGGGAGGTTGCGGGCTGGGCACAGGGTGGGCATTGTGCTGAAAGAGAAGATGGGGGCACATGGGCCTGGACGGTAAACCCGTTCCCTTCAGGGAGGAGGACCGGGCAGAGATGGGGCGGTGCTGTGAGAAGGCACAGCAGGGAGGTGCTGCCCCGCTGTTGCACCGGGTCCTCCCGCCCTCTCACAGAGCGGGGCCGGCTCAGCAGCCCCAGGTGTGTTTGAACCCTGGGGACTGTGACGTGCCACGGGAGGTGGCAAAGTGTCCTCCCTGGTGGTGTGGTCTAGAGCACGGTTCTCCGAATGTGGTTCCAGGGCCTGCAGCACCGAGGTCGCCTGGGGCTGGAGACTCAAACCTCAGCCCCACCCCTCCGACTGGTCGCTGGCGGGCAGGGGGGACAGCACTGTGCGCAAAAGCCCCCCAGGCAGCCCTCATGCAAGCTCCAGTTTGGGAACCGCTGGCATCCTTGGCGGGTATGAGCGCCACCCAGCGGGGACACAAATGCAGGGGTTTTCCTCAGCCAGTCACACCACTGCCCCTTCTCCATTTCGGTCCCAGGCCCAGAGTGGCCAGTAAGTAGAGAATGTTTTCAAGCAACAGTAGGCTGGGTGGTGGTGAAAGTAACTAACTCATGTCCTCGACCTCAAAACCCTGAAGCTGGACCTGGAGTAGCAGATTCCAAAACCAAAAGTGGCTGTAGAACATGAGGGTCCTGGGGGCACACCACCCCGCATGTCACCCTCACCCCTCCTCAGTGCCAGGCTCATGGCCGTTCTCTGGGTGGCGAGATCCCAGGCCCAGACAGCTCACACGGAGCGAACCCGGAGCCCAGCATCGGCAGCAGGGGTGGGGAGGCACCTCCTCCCTGCCCTGGGCTCTGAGGGGGAGACTGCATGGGGCTGGAGAGGCGTTTCCTGCTGCCCTGCAAGCTCTGCACGGCCCCGATGACGGTCTGCACACGGGCATGAGACTGCACATCCCGCCTGAGGGGCCTTCGCCCGCCCCTTGGTGTCAGCGCTGCGCCGGAGGTGATAGGCCAGGTGCCCCATGAGCCCCGGCCCGGCTCCTTCCCGCTGCCTGAGCCGCTTCTCCAGCCGGGAGCCACACTCCCCTCTGACCAGAGATGCGCGGGCTCTACTGGGGCCGGTGGACGGTCCCCCAGCCTGGGACGGGGTGAGGCTCCGCTACCCCACAGCTCCCCTGAATACCAGCCTGCAGCTTATCACAGAGGGAGAACCGAGGGACGCTGGGGAGAGGGGCGGGTCACCAGACACCGTGCTGACTGGCCCTGTCTCTCAGCTTCTCTGCCCTCAGTTCCCCTCTTACAGCGGGGGACACACCCCTCTCCTGCGGCCCCGTGGGCGATGTATTCACAGGACTCACACTCTAAGCACACAGCAGGCTGTCAGTAAACTCAAGGCCCTGGACTCCACCCCATGGTGTGGTGCGGCTGTGCCCGAGGCGCTTGTGGAGCCCGGCGGGGTGGGAGAGAGAATGCCCACAGGCATGTTCACCAAAGGCCGTTACACTCCCGTCTCCCCAAACACAGGTCATCCAGGGAGTGGGGATGTGCCACCCCCTCTGGGTGCGGCTGCCCCTGGGAGCTGCGGGAGGGAAGGGCAATGTGGGGTTCAAGGTGAGTCCGGGCTGATTTCGGCTGTTTGATGTTCCAGCACCTGCAGTGGCCGGACCTCTGCAAAGTGCCGGTTTCTTTTCGGGACCCTGATGCGCTGGGGCCTTTTGCTCACACTGTGACGGCTTTCAACAGGCAGGCCCTTCTCCCTCTCCGGGGAGCTCGTGACTCTGACGGCCCCCCCGCGGGGACCTGGGAGGAGCCGCCCTGGGTGCAGCTCTGCAGGCTCACAGGCAGGACCGCACCCCCCGCGGGGACGGTGCCCAGCTCTGGACCCCAGCCTTTGGATGCCCCCGGCGACCTGCCATGGCCCAGGCCTCTGTTTCCCAGGCTGCTGGTGTGAGCGGAGGACACAGTGCCAGGAGGTCTGGGCTGTCCTCTCCCTCTCTGCGCGGGGACCAGCCAGCGCCCCCAGCAGCACCCTGGACAAGACCCGCCCAGCCAGGGGTCCCAGCTCATCCTGCCCCCGCCAGGCCAGCCTGGTGCCCTGCAGGAGGTTGGGACAGAAAGTCGGGCTCTTCTGGGTCTCCCCCAGTGACAAAGCTGTGCAGGTGTTACCCACCCGCCGCCGTGCCCATCTGCAAGGCCTGGGTGACCTCAGTGAAGAATGAAAGGGGCCCAGCCGCTGTGGCTCAGTGGACTGAGCATCGCCCCACGGACTGAGCGGTCCTTATTCGATTTCCAATCAGGGCACATGCCCGGTTGTGGGCTAGATCCCCAGTAGGGGGCGTGCAGGGTCAATGTTTGTATCTCTCACTCCCTTCCTCTCTCTCTCTTTTTAAATCCTCACCTGAGGATATTTTCCCATTTATCTTCAGATGGGGGGCGGGGGGGGCGAGAGAGAGAAACACCGATGTGAAAGAGACACATCGACTGGTTGCCTCCGCAGGACCCGACTAGGGCTGGGGACTGAACTTCAGCCATGGAACATGCCCTCGACTGGCATCGAACATGCGACTCCTTGGTCCTCAGGCCGATGCTCTAACCGCTGAGCCAAACTGGCCAGAGCTTCCTTCCTTTCTCTAAGAAAATCAATAAAACATGTTTTTTTTTTTTTTTTTTTTAAAAAGCGGGAATGAAGGGAGCCGGCTAGGGCAGGTATGGAACAGGCACAGCACCTCCCCCATGCGGCCCGCGGGGCCCGGCAGGAGGAGCAGGGTCTCTTTCTCGCCCTCGCTTGGTGAGACTTGTTGCACTGACTTCTGGCCCTGCAGAGCCCGGGAGTCGCCGTCACGAGTATTTATCTGCACGAACCCCGGGAAGTTGGAGGGCAGGGAAGCTGGTCACACCACAGTGGGCCTTGCCTCCCAGAGGGTCCTCTCCCGGGGAGGCCTCCAGTGGGCACAGTGCTGATGCAGCCAACTCCCCGCCTGGCTCCCGCCGCAGCTCCACCAGGCCCACCTCCCCCAGACCCAGCCCCCCGCCTGCCTCAGCCCCCTCCACCCCCAGGCCCTGCAGGGAGGAACCAGGCCAGCAGGACTCTTCCCAGGAGGAGGTGTTGGAGGTGGGCAGACCAAAGGCCTGGGCCTTGGGGGAGGGGCAGAGATAAGCCTAACCACCCCATCCTGATGCATTTCCTGGGCGCAGGACCCCCAAAGCCTGCAGCAGAGGCAGAGGAGGGCTGCTCAGCACCAGTGGGGGTCCCGCTGAATTCTCCGGGGTCCAGAGGGGTCGAGGTTTGTAGCCCTTGGATGTCCTTTCAGGAGCTGGGAGGGAGCAGAGAGTCCAACTCTCTCTCAGCTTCCTGTTGGCCCTGGGAGCCTCGTGTCTGGTGAGGGGCTTGGCCTGTTGTCCCTGGCAGAGTCTGTCCCCTGCCCAGGGATTCTGGCAGTGAGCCCCCAGAACTGAAGGGAGGGGCTGAGGGTCCTGGCAGGGCACTCGATGGGTCTGAGGGGGTGGGCACAGGCGATGGGGCTTCTGGGCGGGCGTGTCTAGGTGAGCTGATGCTGACTCCGCAGGTCTGGCCTGTCCTGCTGAGGGCAGTGGAGGGGGCACATCGGTTGGCTGGTTGGCTGTCAGTGAAAATGCAGCTGGAGCCTCCGGTGCAAGCAGCAGGTGAGAACCATCCCGCAGGTCTGCGGGGAGAGCAGAGGGACAGAGAGATCAGGACCCGAGCGACGCGCCCGCAGTGCCCCAGAGCACGCTTCTCACAGGGAGCGCACACCGGGGCAGGTGGACAGAGGGCAGGTGCCCACTGAGGAGGCGGGCTGCTGAGAGCCTACGATTCCGACAAGCTCCCAGGGACGCCGGGGAGCTGCTGTCCGAGAGCAGTGTTTCTCACACTGACGGGAACAAACTGCCCGGGGGCCTTGTTTAGGGCAGACGACAGTTCTGCACGCTCGGGAGTGAGCTCCGCCCCCTGCTGGCCTGTGGCGCAGCTTCTCCAGGGGCAGCCTGAGCGGTTCCTCTACTCCGTCGGCTCCAACTGCTTATTCTGGATGGTGCGTGGGAGCCACTGGGGAAACCGAGGCTCTGGGAAGAGCACCCAGAGCTGTCTCCAGTTCATCCTGTAAGTCAGCTTGGAATGTGGCACCAAAACCAGGCCCTAGCAGCCTGCTGCCGGCCCCGGCACACCCACCGGCTGAACAAGAAGGGGCCAGAGCACCCTGCCCCAGCAGGGCAGTGCTGGGAGGTGGTTTTTCCTGGTCTCACCTTCCGTCCCTACACCAGAGCGGACCTTTACCCCTCACCTTCACTTGTTCTTCACTTGCCTCCTTCTTCCTTCCTCCTCTTCCTCCCTCCCTCCACCCAAAGATGCAGGAGGAGAAGAGGTGAGACCGAGGCGGCCCAGGACTGTGATCACGCTCCTGACAGTGATGCTGCTGGATCCCGACCCCCACCTGCGGGAGAGGGGCAGCCCACGCCCGACCCTCCTGTGCACACGGGCCAGGTGCATTTCCCCAGATGTAGCAACAATGCCCATCTTCCCCCCATGTTCCCACAGCTGCTGCTGACCAGCGGGAGGAGGACGGGCTGGTGGAGACTCCTGCGGGCTGGTAGCACTCGGTTTCTCTCTGCAAAACTAGCTTAAGGAGTAGTGAAGGGTGCCCCCTTCTCCTCCCGCCCCCTCTCCATCCCACTGTGGGAGGACGGTGGGGCCCTTGAACACCGCTCTCAGCCTTCAGACTCGGTGCAGGAGCCGAGCTCACCCCCCTCAGTACTCAGAGCCACACCCTGAAATGCGGGTTAAGGGGTTAGTCTCCCACTGGCTCTTAGCAGGCGGCGGTTGCAGCCATTCCACCAGATGTCATGCAGCATGCCCTCTCCCCTGCCCCATGGTTTAATGACTCATCCTGTGTTCATCTGGATCTTTCTGGTCCTTGCTAAGGGGGAAGCCCGAGGGAGCAGGTGGACCAGCACAGACTTGTGGCTGCTTCTCCTACAGTGTACACCTCGTGCCAGGGAAGACGGGAGAGCTGGGCACCCAGCATGCACACTCTTGTATGAGATGTGTGTTCCCAGGGCGCCTCCCAGGGAGGGCACAGTGAGGGTGGAGGTCTGTGGGCCAGCTCATCAACGCATGTACACACGTGCACACTCACGCTCGCACACACACACGCACACACATCGCCCTTATGCATGCCATGCAGAGAGGTGACAGATGCGCTCAAAGTGTGTGTGCACAGGGACACACTCGTGCACACGCACACCACCCTGACTCGTGTAGAAGGGTGATGGACACCGATGACCAGACCCCTGAGTGAGCGGCAGTGTCTCCTTCCTGACGGGACACGCAGACATCAGCAGACACTCCGGCGGCCAGCACCAGGGCGAGCAGAGAACACACACAAGTCCACTGCAGGAGGTGTCAGATGGTGGGTCCGGACAGGCTGCCTGGGCCCCGCCTACGTGGGCAATGGGCCCTCTGACAGCAGCCCGGATGTCACACATGGGCTTTCAGCGTCTTTTGAGGTTTTGGAGCCAGCACCCGGCTGTCATCAAGAGCATCAAGGAGGGGCCAGGAGGTCCCAGGAAACCATTCCAAAGTGATCTTTGGTTTCCCCTAATGCCCTGCAGATCCCAGTGTCACCATTTGGTGAGTTGTCTGGGCTCTACCTTGAAGTGTGGGGATGTTGGGGTGGGAGTGGGCTGACTTCTCTTTGGAGCTGTGTGTCCCTGGGCACAGTTACATCCCTCTCTGAGCCTCCGATCCCCCTCTATCAATACGAAAACTCTGACTTCAAGCTAGGTTTCCTCCAGTTCCCGGGGACCAGGGAAACATTATGACAGCATTTTGGCCTTGTCTATGCTGAGCCTTGAGGGTCTTCGAAGTGCCTGGCTGGGCGTGTGTGGGAAGGTGCCTGGTGCCTGGTCCAGCCAGAGGATGACCATGAACCTGGGGACAGGCCTGGCGTGAGCCCTCCTTCAGGCGGGCAGCTGACCTGGACTTGTTCCAGCACTGGCCGGCAGAGGGAGCTGTAACCGAGGCTTGGCTGCGGCCCGGCTGGCCTGGGAGAAATGGGAGGGAGAAGCTGGGCAAGGGGTCATGGTGGTGGCCGGGAGCAGCTCTCTCTGGCGGACACTAGGAGCAGTTCCCCAGTGAGCTGGACCAAGAGTCTTCAGGGTGGGTGTGTGAGCGGGGAGGCGGCGTCTGTGGGCCTGCAGCCACCCCGCCAGGCAAGCCGGCCTCCTGGCCTGCCCTGAGGAGGTACAAGAGGGGCCACGTTGCCGCCACCCGGCTCCTGGGCCTGTTCCGAGTGGAGGTGAAGGGGCAAACTGGTCTGGCCAGGAAATGACCGGGCACTTTGGAGATATGACGTGATAAACAACGACGGTACCATTCACCGAGCATCTGCTATCGGCTTGGCGGTGAGCCCTGTGGTTTCCTCGCTGGTCACCAAACCAGGTATAATTAGCCCCATGGCACAGATGAGGAACTCAGGCCCAGAGTGAGACACCAGCCCTGGTCGTCTGGTGTCCCCCAGAGGGTAGGGACCAGCGGGCGGGGCTGAGGTGGGCGGCAGCGGTCTGCAAGGAGTCCCAGGCCGCCACCGTCCTCCTCTTCCCGCAAAGCTTGTCGGGGCAGGGAGTCTGGGGAAGCAAAGGACCCCGGAGATCTGGGTGCCAGTTCAGCGTGAGACTTTTGGTAAGTCACCTCTCTGGGCCTCACGTTCTGATCTGTAAAATGGGGAAGACACTGTTACTCGCCTGGCCTGGGTTTCAGGCTGTGGGGATTTGAAGAGAGTGTGTCTGAGCCACTCTGAAGTCTACCGAATGTCCACTTACGGAGGCCTTCGCCTGCGCCAGGTGCTGCTGGTGTGGCACGCACCACCTCGTTCTCATCTGGCCCTTGCCGGTGGGGAAATGATCCACATTTTGCGGATGGGGTTGAGGGGCAGGGCAGTAACTGCTCAAGGTCACACAGGACTAGAGGCGGGACGGGGCTCAGGTCCTCTGATGCAGCCACTGCTCTGACCTCTTCCCTAGACGGTGCGTACAGTGCGGGAGTGGGCAGGGCAGGGCAGGACCGAGCGCCCTCTAGCACCTGCTGGGCTGCAGCCGGAGTGTCAGGGCCCTTGCTCACTGTATCTGCCCCTGCCCCTGGGGGTGCCCCTTCAGACTCCTCTCCTGACCCGTGACTAGAGTGACCCACGAGAGTAACGCTAACCTCCTGGATAGCGGCTGGGAGAGGGTGGACCGGTGAACCAGAGCAAAGGGCGCGGCTCCTGCTCAGAGCAGAGAGCTGGGTGTACCCAGGGGAGCCCATATCCACAGGTGTGCACACACGCACACACACTGAGGAATGAGTGCATGCCAGGCACACACACATGCACATACATGTGCATCCAGCCCCCACCAAATGCATGCGGACACCGCGGCCCACACACACCGCAGCAGGCGGCACACACCCCACGTGCACACACAGGTGCATGCGCATACCTGAGCCCACTCACACTCCTCTCAGGTCTCTGGGCATTTTCCTTCCTGTTTCCGGGGAAAGAGTGACCGTGTGACTCATCTTTGGCTGGGAAGGGAAGGGGAGAGGAGGGCGGGGCATAGTGCTTGTGCAGAGGGTCAGAGGTGAGAGATCACAGCCCAGGGCAGGGGCTCAGAGCTCTTCCACCTAGCCCCCTCCTCACCTTCACTCAACTCACCTGCAGGCAGGCCACCCCGATGCCCACCGCCCCCATGAGCAGCAGGTGGTTGGCCAGGAACTGCTCCAGTTTCGTGATGCAGCCTCCCTGTAAGGTGACAACAGGTCACACACACCTGGACCCAGAAGTGGCCAAGGATGGGGAGAAGGGTTGGCTGGGTGCTGTATCCACCTGGCTGAGGGAAGGCCAGACACTTAAAGGGTACGGTCCAGCTTTTCAATTGCCCCTGGGCGCTTTGGGTGACCCGGGACCGGCCATGATGTCCAGAATCTCTCAGGAGCAGGACTCGTCCCAGGGCTCTGTGTGGGGTGCATCTCTGAAGGCCCAGCACTGTTCATCTATGGCCAGTAAATAAGTGGGCCCTGCTCCCCCCACCTGTCTGCCCCGAGCCTGCCTTTCAGGGCCCAGGATGCCAGCTGGAGCTAGGGTGCTCACCTCCACCTTGTAGATGTTGGAGGGGTGGGCCCTCTGGCCGCAGCGGGCCACCACCGTCTTGCAGCAGCTGTCGGGCACCTGGCGGCCCTGGGCCTCCGGAGACAGGATGTAGGCGCTGCGCTGCCAGTCGGCGGAGCTGTTGCTCCCGCAGCACTTGAACTGCGGGGAGACAGAGGGCGGCGTGAGGCTCACGCCAGGGTGGCCAGCAGCTCGGTCCAGGGAGCAGGACCGTCATTCCCACAGCAACCAGCCCCTGTTGTTCTCCCTGGGACCTCTCCTTCCTGTTCGCTGCCTCAAGGAGACTAGGCTGCTGTCCTGGGGCAGGGAGGCTCTGTGAGAGATGGCAGGGAGGGAGCTGCAGGGGTCCTGACAGTGGGTGCTCTGGGGGGTGGAGCCCAGGGCAGGGCCCCAATCATGAGAGATGGCTTCCGGGTCATCCGGGAGGCAGAGCCCCAGGGACAGGGACCCAGCCTTGCCAGAGGTTCCCAGGCCCCCATTCAGGCCTTGGAACCTCAGAGCACCCCGCCCTGCAGGGACACAGAAGTGTCCCAGAGGCCACCGAGCGGGCAGCTCGGCAGTGACCAGAGTGCTGACCTGGACCCTGCGTCCTCTGCATCTCCCCCGGGGCAGGGACGTGCCGGCCCAGGTCTCAGGTGATTGAAACACAGGAAGTTGGTTCCTTCTCACCCTGTGGTTTTCGGACCGAGGCTTAGAGTCCCTACACTGGCCACAGAACAGGGCTGTTTGAGGTGGTGCCTGGTGAGAGGGGCTGGTGGGGTGGGAGGTGCATTTCGTCTATTTGGCACCTACTATGTGGGGAGCCACGCTCCGCACTGGGCTCAAACAGGAGTTGATCCAAGTGTAACTTCCTAGGGTCTAGTAGGAGAGATGGCAGGGCCAGGGCGCGTGGGCGAGAGGGAGGGTCCGAGGGCGGAGCTGGTGGAGGAAGCGCAGGGGCTGGCGGACAGCAGGTCCTGCGCCTGGAGCCCTGCGCGTCTGTCCCCGAGCCCAGCCGAGCTGTCGCCCGCACAGGATTTAGCCTTTCTGGGCTTCACTTCACGGCTTGTGAAGTGGAGATAACAGCGCTCCACGGGGTGGTGGTGAGGGCTGAACCAGGGGGTTCACAGACAGCACTTGGCGGAGTCCTGTCCGGGGTCGGCGGCTCGTGAGAGACACCTACTACCTGTCCCATGGTCACTGCACGGATAAAGGCACGTGGTGTCTCCAATATGCGCGGTGGGGCATGAAGCCACCGCCGTCCTGGGGCTCAGTGTCCTCATGCCTAAGATTCGGGCCTGGGCCCACGGTCCCTCATGCCCCTTGGGTTCTAAGTTCCTGGTGCCCCCCCAGGGGGACTGACTCGGGGGCACAGCGCTGGCTCCCAGCCGCGCCCTTCCTCTTGCTGTCCCCATCCCGCCTGCCTAGCCCATCCTCGCAAACCCAGGCCCCCTTCTTGGCCGCTCCAGGTGGCCTCCCCAGCCCCTTCCCCCCACTCTGAGGGCCCCCCGACTAGCACTTACTGCGTGTGGCCTGTCGCCCTGAGGGCAGGGGTCTGGGCAGTCACCCCCCTGGGAGGCGGACAAGCCTGCACTGAGCTTTAGGTGGACTGAGCAGCAGGGAGGGGCTACGCGTGCGGGTGTGGGCGCACTTGTGTGTGCACAGGAGACCTTGGCCACTGTTTGAGACGAGACCCCTCCCTGTGCAGCTGACGGGGAGCTGAGCGAGTCTTGGGGAGACAGGGAGGTGTCCCCAGCTGAACTGAGGTGCCCCTGGAGCTCAGAGCCCTCCTTGCCCTGTTCCCACGAAAAGGCCGAGGCCTCCGGCCGGGCGGTAGGTACAGGGCAGCAGAGCCACAGGGCGAGGTGGGGTGGCAGGGACAAGGGGCAGCAGCCGAGGGGCAGGGGGAGCTGCCTCGCAGTCTCAGACACAGAACTGCAGACACAGACCCCACACACCCCCTGGGTAGAAATGCCCTCCATCTGTGCTTGGGGAACTTGGAATGAGCTTAGTGTGACTGAGGAACTGAACTGTTGTTTTTTTTATCCTCACCCGAGGACATTTTTGCATTTATCCTCAGATAGAGCAGGAGGGAGAGAGGGAGGAAGAGAGAGAGAAACGTCGATGTGAGAGAGACACCTCGAGTGGTTGCTACCCACATGATCCCAACCGGGGCCGGGGACAAACTACGACCAAGGTACGTGCCCCCACTGGGAACTGAACCTGGGCCTCTCTGGTTGGTGGGCCAAAGCTCTAACCGCTGAGCCAAACCGGCCAGGGCGAGGAACTGAATTTTATATAAAATGTAGTCACGTGTGGCTAGTGGCTACTGTTTGGGGCCACACAGGTCTGAGGTCTGTTTGCCCCTCCCCGCCCCTGGCAGGACTGTGGGCCCCCTGGATGGGTTGCTGAGACTCCTCTTAGAAAGGCCAGACCACGGTGCTGTCCCCAGCGCTGGACGGCACACGTCTGGCACGTTCTTGCAGCGGCTTAAAGGCAATACCTCTGTGGGGCCCCAGGGGTCCCCAGCACCCCGCCCCAGGGGAGGAAGGCAGCCCCTGGAAGGGGCCAGGAGATGGAGTTCCCCCGGGACGGCCAGAGGGGCAGGCGGCAGGTGGAGCCATGCCGGGCGGAGGGCGGAGGAAGAGGGAGGGAAGCCCAGGCTTCAGAAGCACTTTGCACGGAGGTGGGGCTGCTCATTCGTGCACATGTGACGCTCACACCTATGAGCAGCTGCAGGTGAAGGAGGAAAGTGACTTGCCCAGGGCCACACAGACGGAAGGGACAGAGTCGGGGCTGAACCCGTGTTGGAGGGCTTACATCCTGCTGCAGGCGGTCGACGGAGGTGGTGATCTCCGCGGCTCCAGGCTGCCCGTAGTTCTCGGACAAAGTCCGGGCCAAGTGCTGCTTCAGCTCATCACTCAGCTGGAGGGTGCAGAGGGGAGGTGGGTCAGCAGAGCACCCCCCGGGCCCCCAGGCCTGCCCCTAAGTGTGTCGACACCAGCTCACTCAACAGCACTGTGTACTCTGAACCGTACGATGTGCTGGTTTCCCCACAGTGTGACGGGACCCTCGGCGCACAGCCGACAGAGCTATGACATGATGTGCAGAAGCTGGGGCCCTAACACAGGGGTGGAGGTGTCCGGGCAGGGCTGAGGGACAGGCTGCAGGAGGAGACAGCTCCTAGGCACAAGGGTGCTTTTAAATATCCATTGAATTCCATTTTGATTATGAGAGGCTATTCAAAATATTTACAATCATTACCCAGTGGGCACCCATTGGCACTATAGGTGCTGGCTTGAAGCACCCAGCATGGTCATCAGTCCCGACCAGCTGACTATCAGCCTGGCTGTGACCTTGAACCCCTGATTCAGAGGGCACCCGGCAGGAGAGGACCTGACTGGCCCTTCATCCTCGTCCACGCGGGCAGGCGGGGCGGGTGCTGTCTCTGTCGGCTGGCACGCAGCCCTGGCCCGTCCCCGTGGATGTCCGACAGCCCACCCGTGTTCCACTTGCCATAGAAGGGCAGAGGGACCACCCCACCTCCCGTGGGCGCTTCCCCCCGGCTCCCATGGTGAAGACATCACAGCACCAGACAGAGGAGAGAGTGACCAGAACTGGGACACGAAGCAGGACCCAGCCGTGCCGAGGAGCGAGGAGCGCTGGGGCCTGGGGGACAAGACCACCCTGCGTGCGGCTGCCCGGCTCCACCGCTGTCCTGGGGGCGCCGGTGGGGTACGTGAGGAAGAACTTCCACGCACCCTCTGGTAGTACACGTGGGCCAGGACCCCCGCCACCAGCTCCACGAGGAAGATCACCAGCAACAGGCAGAAGTACTAGGAGCAAGGAGAGAGATGGTCACCACCAGGATCGGGTCTGGGCTGGCAGGTGGTACTTCAGGGCCTCTGTGAGAAATGTTCCCCTAAAGCCCCGAGGGACGTGGGGCTACGCCAGGGACCCCGCGCACAGGCCAGCTTCCTCTCTTCCCGCAGGCACCAGTGGAGGGGGCTCTGGGCATACCCCCTCTGCTGGTGAGCTCTGCACTCACCCTGCGGTCCACCTGTTTACCGCCCTCCGCCAGCACCTCTCAGACACCTGCTGGCCGCCAGGTGTCATAAGTAAGATGGTGTTGCCCTCAGAGTCATCGCTGGGGGACAGACACGCCAGTGATCACAATGATGTGTTTGAGATGCTACTGTAGACCCAGAGACCTAGAAGTAGGGAACAAACTGACAGACCTCAGAGGAAAGGGGGGTGCGGGGGTTGGGAAGACCTCAACCAAAGACCTTATATACATATATGCATCATCAATGGACACAGACAACAGTGTGGGGAAGGCAGTCAATGGGGGAAAAAGAGGGTGCATCTGTAATACTTTCAATAATAAAGATTAAAAAAATAAATGCTACTATGGGGTAAGCCTAGAAACTGTGGGAGGCTCCTGGTGGGAGAGGGCAGTCAGAGAAGGCTTCCCGGAGGAGGTGACACCTGAGCGGCATCTCTGAGGATGTGTGGGCATTTTCCAGGGAAGGAGGGAAATGCCTGCCGGGCCGAGGGGAGAGCATGGGCAAAACCTGGAGAGCGCAGAGGCGCGGGGTGTTTGAGTTCAGGGGTGCGGCTGGAGTGTAGGGACTCCCGCAACCAAGGGCTGGAACGGCACAGAGACCCCGGGAAGGGCCTTCTGGGGGATTCTAAATTTCCCTCGCCACTGCCTGGCCTGCTCCAGGCTCGGGGTGCTCTGCACGCTTCACAGCCCTGCTGCTGCTGGTTTCCGGGGGTGCCCTGGTGGTGCCAGACCTGCCTCCTGCCCCGTCCACCTGGCGTTACTCTCAGGGAGGCACAGACGCTGCTGGAGCCTGGTGTGCGCTCGAAGGAGCAACAGGTCGGACGTGCACGCCGGGCCCACGTGACTGGGAGGAGACGGTGAGGGAGACAGCAGGCTACAGGTAGGGACGGGAAGCGGGAGAGGAGGAAGGAGAGGGAGTCCTGTTGCCTGAAACTGGCCCTCTGGGCAAGCGCAGCCCTCCTCCTGAGCGCTGGTTGGCAGGGCCTCCCCTCCTCCAGGCACTGCCCACCGCCCAGCCATGAGGGCGGCAGCCCACCGTCACTCGGTCACTGGATTGCCGGGAGGCAGGGCCTGTAGGTGAGCTTTGAAGCACCAGGGTTCATCCACCATGAGGACAGCTGACAGCTGGCAGGGGCTCCGAGGGTTGACGGGGTGGGCACAGCCGGAGGGCAGGGGCTCCGAGGGTTGACGGGGTGGGGACAGCCGGAGGGCAGGGGCTCCGAGGGTTGACGGGGTGGGGACAGCCGGAGGGCAGGGGCTCCGAGGGTTGACGGGGTGGGGACAGCCGGAGGGCAGGGGCTCCGAGGGTTGACGGGGTGGGGACAGCCGGAGGGCAGGGACTGTCCATCCATTTCAGAGGCAGTGCCAGTACACAGGCTTATTGGCCTTGCCCACTGGCTCCCAGAGCCCAGCAGGGGCCTGGCAAGGGCAGGACTGAATGCACAGGGGAGAGGACATTTCACGGAGCAAGAACTTTGACCCAAGAGCAAGGCCATGCACTGCACCAGGAAAGGCCTCTGGCCTGCACATCTCGGGTGTCTGTCCCACCCAGGACTGGGCCCCGTGGTCCCACTGGGTGGGGCGCCCAGCAGCCTCTGGAGCCCTGTGCAGGCTCTGGGTGGAGGCTCGGGCTATCTGCACAGGGTGCTCCGAGCTCTGGGCACCCAGAGGAGGTCCAGAAGTGGGGAAGGCAGGGTCCCCAGGGGGCACATCCCCTGGGCCCGCTGACTCTCCTGCCGTGGGGAGGGGTTTGCATGAAGGGGCTGTGTGTGCCTGGTCCCCGAAGGTACTGCATGTCATCCACGTGCGCAGGAGGCTGATGAGAGGTCTGGGGAAGGGGGGTCCTTTCTGCTTGAGGAGCCGGGTGTCTGACACAGGGCCTGAAAACCTGACGGATGATGGTGGCATGTCAGCTGACTTGGCTTTGAGTCCAGGCCGGCCCCTCGCTGGCTCTGGGTGGGTGACCTCTGGTGGGTGTGAATGAGAACACTGTGCTCCAGCGAGAAGGTGCTCAGTGCGTTGGGTGGGCTGGATTCCGCCGTCCTTGGTTCCTTGCTCAAGACACCACCTGTGGTGGTCCTGCCGGTGGGACTGAGCCAGGGACGGTGGCCCTGCGCTGCCTCCCCTGGAGGCCCGACGGGGGGGGGGGGGTGTCCACGCTTCATAGTCATCTGAACTGCCTCCTGCTCCGCAGGGGGGCTGCTGCTTCAGCGGTCACCCTCGGTCTCCCCAGAATGACCGTGAGCTTTGGGGGGACGGGGCCACTGGAGCGGCGCTGGGTCTACTGCATGCTCAGTGACACAGTGGGAACCGGCCAGAGTGGGCCGGAGCTGGGGGCAGGAGCCTCATCTGTCCTGGTCTGTGGGGACTTTACCTTAGCTTAATGTAGGTCAGCGGCCTCAACCTGGCTCGATTTTGCCCCCAGGGGACATTTGGCAATGGCTGGAGACTTTTTTGTTGTCACACTGGGAGAGGGATGCCACGGGCACCTAGCAGGTGGAGGCCCAGGGTGCTGCTGACACCCTCCAGTGCGCAGCGCAGGCCCCCTGGAGAACCAAGGCTGGCTGGGGGCTCAATTTGCATGAGTCCTACACACTGAGAGGCACAAACAGATCGAAGGAAGGCTACCCAGCTCCTGAGAAGCCTGTAAGGGGGTTGACTCTGTACCTGCCCAGGGTTGGGGGCACCTGTGCGGCACGCTGACCCGCACGAGGGTTGGAGAAGCAGAGAGAATGACACCCATCCAGGTACATCCCAGGAGCGCTGGGTGCTTCCCTGGGGACAGTGTGCTGTCTGAAGCAGCTGTCCCTAATGAGCTGGGCAGTGGGGGTGAGCGGCCATAAACGGTAGATGATAGACTGACTAGGAAGCGAGAAGAAGGTTCTGGAATTATCTTTTGCCTTTACATTTGGTGTGGATTTTGAATTATTAAACAACAGTCAGTAAAATGTTCTCAGATACCCATGTGTAATATTTCAAGGAGCCAGTATTTACGGGCCTGGAGCCCTCCCCTTCTCCCAGCTAACCAGCCAGGGGGGCCCCTGCTCCCCCCTTCTCCCAGCTAACCAGCCAGGGGGCCCCTGCTCCCCCCTTCTCCCAGCCAACCGGCCAGGGGGCCCCCTGCTCCCCCCTTCTCCCAGCCAACTGGCCAGGGGGGCCCCTGCTCCCCCCTTCTCCCAGCTAAGTGGCCAGGGGGCCCCTGCTCCTCCCTTCTCCCAGCTAACTGGCCAGGGGGCCCCTGTTCCTCCCCTTCTCCCAGCTAACTGGCCAGGGGGGCCCCTGCTCCCCCCTTCTCCCAGCTAACTGGCCAGGGGGGGCCCTGCTCCTCCCCGAGCACTGGGCTCTCTAGAGGGGCCACCAGAATCCCTCTCCCTGGCCTGTGTCTTAGGAGGTGCTCACCCCACTCAGGTGTGTTGGCCTTGTTGGAAACAAAGCCGGAGAAGCAGAGGAAATGCTGTTTTTCTACAGTGGGAGCAGTGGAGAGGCTGCCTGTACACACATGCACGCACATGCACACACACGCACACACGTGCACGCACACACGCGCTCACACAGTGGAGAGGCTGCCTTTACACACACACACACGCACATGCACACACACGCACACATGTGCACGCACACACGCGCTCACACAGTGGAGAGGCTGCCTGTACACACGCACATGCACACACACGCACACACGTGCACGCACACACACACAATAATCAGTCCTTCCCCGGAGGAGTCCGCACACTGTCAGCGGAGTGGGTTCTGGGACAGTACCGTCAAGGCCGCCAGCTCTCTAGGCTCCGGCCCCTCGGTGAGCCCTTCCCAGGAGCACACCCACTCAGCACACCCCTCCCAGGGCAGTGCAGTCCACGCGCGCGTGCACACGGGAGCTGGGGGCTCGTCCCAACGCGGCTGGCGAGCACACGGCTGAGCCGGACCTGACCGCAGGGGGCCTGGCTGCAGAGCCTGTGGGCACCTGCTGCTGTCCTCGGCTGGGGGATGGGCTGGGCTCCCCGAGCTCCGTAGGGGGTCAGCAGGTTCGGGTGGGTACAGGTGTCAGGAGAGTAAAGAGAGGGTGCTGATGGAGGGACAAAGGGGAAACCAGGACACCCCAACTCCCACAGACAAGGGTCTCTCACTGGCCCCACTCAGTCCCCATTCCTCAGTGCCAGCAAGCACCTGGCATGCTCCAGGGGCCCCTCCTGGCCAGGCTGCCCTCCTCCACCAGGGCCCCTCTAGCAATAGCACCACAGTGGCTTCCCCCCCCAGGCCGCCCTCCTCCACGCCTCTCTCCGCTCCGGGGTCACAGCACCAGCTCTAGCGCTACGCCTGCCGCCTGCCCTTCGCCCACTCGGCCTAGCCGCACCGAGCTCAGTCCAGTAGCTACCTGCACACGCTGGGCAACACCCCGTGTGCAAACAGCACCCTGCGCACAGCCAGGCCTCGCTCCCTCCGTGCCGCCTGCATGGGGTCCGCAGCTGTCAGCCGTGAAGCCTCAGCTCCCGCCAGGCCCACAGCCCCCCCTGAGCTGGAAGTCCCTGGCTGTGACCTCACTGCTGACATCTCCCGGACCCCGATCTGACCAGCGGGTCTCACGCTGGTCCCTCTCCCCAGACTGTGTGCACTCTGACCCTCACCGACCCTCCTGCTCTGCCCTGTATCTCGTTCTGTCTTCACGGGCCCTGGGCACGGGTGTGGGCCTGACCCCCTTCACCCCAATTCCTCCCGCACCTCCAGCCCACTCAGGTTTTTGTCCCTGGCCTGCCCCTGCTCTGAGGGCTG